ATCTTCAAAGGGAATTTGTGCCCGTTCGAGAGCAGAGCTGATCCAGAAAGGGGTCAGAAATATTTTTTTGCCTGACGGCGAAGTTACCTAGCCCAGCCTTCAACCTTCCAATGGCACGGATGGTGCGGAAGTAGTATTCGATTCAAGTCAAGATTTTGGCAACGACACAGTCTTTAATTTCGAAAGGCCGATTAGGCAGAGCAGATCCGAGACCGGTAAACCCGGAGCTCCTGTTCAGGCCGACCAAAACCCTGCAATTGACTGGACTGGAACGATGGCTGCTCTATGAAACACCTCAGTAGATTCATTTGGTAAAAAAAGCCGGGGCCCAAGAGTGAAATTGGAGTTCGAGGTCCGAACTACTGACGAAGTTCTCTGAAAAAACCGTGGATAAGTAGTAATTCCATCTCTGGTATCAAACTTAAAATGTTTGTTCAAGTTTTCGAAAGTGTCGGTTGTGGCGGCCTTCTTAATCTCGGCATAGAAACGCATCTAACAAGGAATGTCCCTCAGATCGCTATGGCTGTTCCATATGAGATGAATACCCCTTTATGCATTTTTTCACGCTAATTTTAAATTTGCATTCCAAATTTGATAAACGATTCCATGAACGGAGCTATGAAGCTGAAAAGCGCAGCGGAAGCAGTGTGCGCTTCTGAGCAAGGGCTCCTGGGATCGCTTCCTCTGCAAGTATATACGGGTTATTATAGGCAAACATTGATGAAGTAACGTGTACAAGTCATTTCGGGAATGTTGTACACAAAACCAAATGAATGAGCCGATCCCAAGAGCCCTTGCTCAAGAGCCTACACTGTTGCCGCTGCGCTTTTCTGCTTCATAGCTCCGCTGCCAGAATATTAGTAAATTTGGAAGGCATGTTTGAAATCAGCCTGTTGAATTGCAGGGGTACACATCTCATATGGAATGGCAATGACGACCTGAGGGACATCCTTGTAAGCTCCATCCTCGTTTGTTTGTTGGACGCTTATCATTCGTCGCATTTCATTCCGAATGCTCCAGTTTTCATGCTCTCCGTGTCAGTGCACCAATTAAGGCGACGTAAAAAGTTTGTCCAACTACATATTGATAGAACAAAGATCGAGCGACTCACCTAGGTATGCTTTATTGTCACGTCCATTCCTTGTCAGCTGGCGAATGCGTTTACAAACCAACATTCGTGCTAAGAGTGCATGGATCCGCGTCGTTCCGTTGGAATAGATGTGCTCCGCTGGAGTTGTCTCAGGAATTCACCAACAGCATGATCAGTGTTCTCGCATAGTTCGCGTCTTTTGGGCTTTCGTTCACGTGCCCACTTATCGATTCGCTCTGAAGTTTGATGTGCGCTGAATTTTGAATGCAATCGAAAACTTTTTGAATCTTAAGTGCGATCGCGCATAAGGGTGTACTGTAGGAGTCATTAGAATATGAAGCCATACACGATCGCCGACGAAGCATGGGACCGAAATTGGCACGTATTGAAAGATCTAAATGCAGCTTCTGGTGTTTGTTCATTGACTGAAGGCGCAATCTGGTGAAAGTCAAAGAATGTGCAGAAGTGTGTTACTGAGAACGTATAAACATTTCCTTATGTTTCTAGGATGCTTCTCATTGTCCATCGTGGTGTCTGCCCGATTTGAGGCGTGAGACTTCCTCCCCCACTCTTCGTTCACATGGTGTCGATAGCGTCGTGGAACGAGCTACAAGCTGTACATTCTAGTTCTATCGCGATCTGTGATTTATAAATTTCCGCAGTTTCACGATGTTAGAAGCAGACGTTTGCTTCCCCCCCCCTCCCCACACAACTTACAAGTTACGACTTTTCCTCGTCTGACTACGAGAAGAGGCCGTCTGCAGACCACGTGCTTCTTTGGCATGCAATGTACACGTCCGGCCCTAAAATACAGGTTATATGCACTCGCGTAAGGGGTGGTACGGGGGTGATGAAGGAGGAAGAAGTCGCGTTTGCTTATTGCGCGATAGCGATGGTGATTTGTCTCATAATGCAGGCACATGGGATTTCCGTTAAAGAGAGGATTTCACGATGAGGTCAAAGATCGAAGAAGGGAGCGCGAGGATAGGCGCCGCCTCTAAGCCGCTTGCCGACACGCAATTCGCGGCGAAGGACATGTCCCCGGAGATCTAGCATGTTCCTCCCCGCTGCGCTATCAGCGCGGTACGCCCACTGACTGGGTAACGACTCGTCATAGGTATCTAGCCAATTAGCAGAGAGAGCGTTACGTTGAGGAGGGCAGCGCAGATGAGGATTGCATCAATGTGGAAATAAAAGGGCAAAGGGAGGGGACCTATTTGTTTTGTTTGGAATCATTTGTCATGCTTTTTTTTCTATCGCTGCACCAATGACCACCTCTACCCTTTCTTTTAATAGCTGCCTTTTCATCGCTAAATTCACCTATAGAACCAAAAGTTCCTGGATTTCTAACTTTTACTCCACTACTCTTCTCATACATGGATTTATTGCGGAACTTTTCAGAAAATTGGGGTTTAATTTTCAGAGCCACAGGCCTCTCTCCCTGAACCTTAATGAAATTCTTTTCATAAGTAAGTTTATGAGTTCCGTAATACAAGGTGATGGTAATGTCACGATTTAACCCTTTTCGGACCGCGCACCTTTTGCGCTCACCGCCGTGTGCTGCGCGGCAAGCATGAATATCATATATCTAATCTGCATCCCCACTAAAGCCATTATTTTGTCTCGTTTGTGTATTTGTCATGTCTAAAGGAATTACGAGGTCAATCTGACAGCAAACTTTAATGGAAGAAAAGGTGATAGGGCCACTAAAAGGGAGGAGGGGACGAAAATTGTTTAAAATAAGTTGATATAGGAAAAAGCGGACTAGAACGCACCTAGAACGCTTGGTTTCAAAAGTATCAGAAACGACGAGCACGATGTTCCAGAAATTCTTCGGTATGAAGTGTTTGCAAGCGAATTACAACTGTTTTCTTTGAGCTCGGAGTGAAAATCCACTTACTTCCTAGTTATTATAGGAACTAGATCAAGGACTGAAGTCTAGATTTTTTCATACATACGACATGAGTGTGTTACATAGATACATAACGACATAAAACATTTTATCAAAAAGCCAAATTCTTAGAAAAATCAGCTCTTGAAGTTCCTACCACCTCATGGGTGTCAGGCAGTCCGAAAAGGGTTAAAGTGTGCGGCAAAGAGCTTATGCTTTCGCTTGACCGCTGCAAGAGCTGCTATCCTTCCCTATGTCTGTTTTCTCAACCACACTCGAGAAAACAGTGCTTTTGAACAGGTAACTTTGCATTTTCTTTTTACTGTGCAATTGATCAGCAGTTCCTGTTTCGTGTATTGATCCTATCAGCACTCTTCCTCTATCAAGGAGTGTGTCTACAGGTAATTCAGCATTACGCACTCAACTTGTCAATCAAAATTTAAGTTACTGCCACTGAGCTGTGCTTATGAATTTTGCTTTAGTGATTATTGCCTATAAGTGACTTCTTCATCTTCCGGCTCCTATTTTGGTGTGCAATGACATCAGGAGCGGTGGAATCGTTGCACATTAGCTATGCTTCCCACTTCCATCCATGTTCCTGTCGGGCATCGTAAGCATCGTTCGATTCGCTGCCTACCCGCTCGTGCGTCGCTTTTCCCATCGCTTTTTCTCGATCCCATTTACCCGTCGAATATCCCCATTTTTTGCTCAAGAATTTATAGTATTCGTGTCCCCGACCCAGATCTCTAATTGCGTGAGGATTTCACGGCATAACTACAACCACCCTTCGTCTAATTGCGACAAATCTCCCTAGAAAACGCGACTCCCTCCCAAGTATCAATATCACTCCGTTTTTATGGTTTTGCTTATGCTCTCAGTAGACTGGGAAGCCTCAGGTAAGTAAGTTATCTCTACCACTAAGCGCATTGATGCTATAACTGCTCAAGCGCAGACTCAAACCTGAGCTACCCGAAAAGGTGCAAGTTGTCTTTTTTTCAAAATATTCGTTCCTTCAAGTAATATTTTTGAACCTTTTCAAGATCTTTTTTGTAGTTGTCTGTATGGAGTGTAGTTCCCAACAAACGACCTTTTACGACCACTGCAGCCAGGCATTCTGAGGTCGCCCAGAATAGGATTCTATTGCCATTGCAAGTAGCATTAATTCGTCACCTGGGAACTCAAGTCAGAGGAGGGGTGATACATCGGGAGAAATGAGGGTAATCGAGAAAGAAGGAGGATTGCTACCTGGTGCACTGCTGCTGAAAACGAATGATGGGAACCACCTCCGATTACTCAGCCATAATTGAGCACCTCCGTATCGTGCTTGACAGTCGTCTCGCATTTCTCAGCGCCGAGCTTTGCCTTAGCCCCAGATTCTCATTTTGACGATCTGAGCGCTCATACGAAGTGGTAAGTCTAGCTGTTCAAAGTTACTTGTTACAAGATCTCTCGAACTCTCGTCTTCTGAAGGAATCTTCGAATCTTCTGGCTTGTGGTAACTGCGGCTTTTTTCAAGAGTTTTTAATGATTTTTAAGATGTTATGTGAATGGCCTGCTCTTTTTTTTCAATTTCACTTACCTATATGTAGTATTTGGTCCAATGTCGTTTCCTTTCCTCTCTTACTGATGAGCACAGGGAGAGGATATACTTAAAGATTTGGCTTCCGTCTAAGGGCCTTGCGAAACGGACGCCAGGCTGACTCTGTGACCCATCCCCCTTATTATTTCACTTGTTTTGGTTCTTATAACAGTTGCTACATTTCTTTGCTCATTTCTGGTCATAGCCGTTGAAGTTAATTTTTTTTTCGACTAATTACTAAAATCTGTACTGATACCGCTCTGTTGAGTAGTGCGTTGTATTGCGGACCCTGAAACCCACCTGAATAAACCAAATTAAATCAATAAATGAAAACCAATTGAGCCAGAAACATGCTGCATTGCTCTTGCAAATCGAAAAAGTGGCAGCGTTGTGCAAACTGTTCTAAGCTGCCTTATTTGCAATATTACTTTGTGTTGTAGAGTGCTAGAGGAACAGTCTGCTGGGTTTCCGGCCGACATGATTGGTTTTGTGTGGCAATGGTGAGTACACGACCACTCTAGGGCCGGCATTCGTCGCTCGCTGCTGTGCAGAAGGAAACACGATAATAGCGGCTAATGACCAGCGTCCCAGAACGCGGCCAATGCACGACGCCGCTACACATCGCTTGCATTTGAAGTGGGGGTGAGGGCTCCAGGGAATAGACGGATTTGCCAGAGCAATGCCTCAAATCCAAGAAGGAAGAGCCACTACGAATTCGTCTGGGTGGCCTGCGACTTTTTGAAGAGGCTAGCCATAAAGAAATTCTTCCAACCAGGCAATATCATCTTGCCTCCACCACTTGCCATTCAAGACGTGCAGAGGTCACCATGACAACAGCTCTGTAAAAGGCTCCTTCGGACTAGCCCACGAGCCCTCAACGAATAATACAATTATGGTTGCAATCGGCTGCAGTTAGAATGAAGCTTCAAAATAGAGGGCAACTTGACTAGATTGCAAATCTAATGATGCCGCGACGAGATGCGGTCAAGGTTTAAAGAAACTTTTCATCCTATCGTTTCTGAATACAACCAAGGAAATCAGGGAGCAAGCCAAGCAATATTACGATTAAAGGAGTCCCTCACGAAAAAATCATGATTCTATCTCAGCCATAAATCACTGGTATGAGACTCATTATCCACGATAAGAATGAAAAGGGCAAAAATATTGCTTCTATTTCAGTAAAAAAATTCGAGAAATCAAAAGGGCTGCTACGCGTTCAAATTTCCCACGGACGTCTTTCACAAATGCTGGCAACGGGGATGCTTCCACCTGGTTCTTGGATGCCTTCACTAGAAACTTTTTCAGGACTATTGACTTACTACATTCACATTCACCGTCTACTCCATCCTATTCTATCGATCGATTTGTCTCTACTCTACAAAATCGCGCTTTAACCCGATTCTTTCATTGCGTCGCCTAATGCGTAGCCGGCCAAAGGCCAACTTCTTTCCTTGCCTCGCCAACGGCTCCGCCCGAATTACCTTCAATTGTCCATAGAGTGCAGTTTTTGTACGTTTGTTTCTCTTCGGAAACCGAATCTTTATTCGTGAAATTTTGTGTGCTGTTTCCTATCACAACTGACCATTCATGTCACGAAAGAATGCAAGAATTTTCCGTGGCGGAGGATTCCTTTAATTTGAAACTGGGATTAAAACCTATGAGAAGAGTTTCCCACCATGAGCATTTGGAACAGCTTTTTGTACAAAAATTGGAAATGTTTGAAGGTGTGTCGGTATGTTCGTGGGTTTTTCACCTGTGATATCACGACTAAAAAAGTCAGAGTAGTGCCTTCTTTGCAATTTATTGATAAGGATAAATTTCTCCAGTGAACTTTCGTAAGATCATGGGACATCCACTTTCGTACATTATACCATTCTATCGAAGACGGCTCTTTCAAGTGGAGAACAAAGTAAACATCTCCGACACGTCCTGTCCTCGAATATTCGAGCGGAAATGCCGCAGCCAATTCTGCTAGAGCTATCAACACCATTAAGTGAAAGACACTAACTGCTCAATAGCTCAGCTCCGCTCAATAGCTGTCGGTTCAATACTTGTGTTTCCTCCGCTCAGAAACAACAACTTTAGTATCGCGACAGATTCGCTCTTAGACTCTCAGTTCGAGTTTGATGTGAGAAACCTTGACTGCACTTCTGCCATCACCCCTCTTTTGTCTCCCTAGAGCTTCGTTCAAGATTTTCTAAAATTCTGAGGGCCTCTCACAATTTTCACCATTATATTTGTTGGATTTTATGGAGAATCTTGACGAGGCAATTCTTCTCCCAGCGAGTCTTTTTCTAACGGAATTTGAAGCGCTGGTGTAGAGAGCGCTTGCGAATCTTTTCTAACTTCCAACTGGACGAAAATAACATTAGCCTATCTTAAGCTGATACTGATATCCTTTACCTATAGAAAATCCCATTTTTCTCGCAGGAGCCTTTCTTCAGCTCACTCTAGCATGTTATTTCGTTGAAAACGCTTCATGAAGTCTTGCATGATTCTAATCCAAAAAAAGCGCCAATAATAATATATATAATAAATATATATTATATATATAAAACTGAAGCAATTACATTTGAATTAGCAGAGGCCATTGACAAAAAACAGAGATGTAATTACGAAGCCAGGGCGCGAGGGTGCTGTGATATTTCTTTACTGTTACGCATAACCCCCGTTACGCGAATAGGACCAGTGCTGAGGGAACTCCGCTCATTCACCGCGCATGCAGTGGTGACATACATGCTCTGGACTGTTTTGTGGAACAGCTGCAATCTCGAATCTGTTCGGCGTCCAGGTGTATTTTATTATAATTTTATTGCTATTGGATTTCTTATATGTACCAGCATGAATTACTGATAAAGGATAAGCCCTTTCCGTTGAATAATCATTTTTTTCGGTTGCGCTCACGCATCTACTTACAGAAGAGTCAGTGAATGTGACTCTTGAATGCTAGATATACAAAGACTAGCGGAGCCAGTTGGCTGTACCGTGCTAGTAGAGACAGATCTAGTAACAAACAGGGTGGATAACGGTCGGAGGAATCCTCAACTCAACTATGCTCCATGATGTGCGAGAGTAGTGCCGCAGTATGGAGACAATGGTCGCCAGGCGTCCGTGTCTCCGCCGTGAGCGTACGCGCGGGGACACGGACCGGCTCGCGCATTGGCGAGTATGAATGTCGCGCGGGGAGAACGTAACTAACTAGGCGAAAATCCTCGACGTGCCGTTGAGGATATGCTCAACCGATATTCACACCTGTAATAAATATGAGATCCTAAAGGGAAAAAAATGCTTGGTGATCAGCTTGGGCAAGATTCGATGAAGTTTGACTCCCAGGACCCTGCACAAGGTATGAGCGCCATTTTTCTACGACACCACCTCCACCCATCACTAATGCTACTCCCAGGAGAAGACACATTGTTCACTCATGTGTTGTCATTCTGGTCCCATATCCTAAAAGTTTGCAGTAAATGCCTCGATTGTGAAGCGTTTTTGGAAAAAGAGCGGTTGCTGAAAAGCGCCGAGAGTTTTTGATACGAAATTCTTCACAAAAATGAGGCCAGTGCATTTCTGACTCAGAGAATTGCTAATTACCGTAACAATCAAGGAAATTGCTTCACACCACACACCTTGGAAACCACTTTTTTCCATTCACTCCATTCAAATGGTGAGCTGCGAAGCGCCGGTAACCAATTCTTGCAGGGAATTATTATTGTAGCGATAAATAAAAACGGCAAAGGTGCGATGACGTCCTTCGTGCGCGTAAGATCAGTCTAGGGCTCTCTTGTGCCAGGAAAGCGGCCAAGAGGCGCCTCGAAAGCAACGATGACTTCGATACGTTGCATGAGACACTTAATTACTTGATGCTTCATCCCGATAAGGCACACAATCGGGAAAAAAGTTGGCGTCAACGTACCACGACGGACCCCCGCCCCGGGGTGGGACAAACGCTAAAGCATAAAGAAGAAGCAATAACAACGGCCAAATCAAACAGACCATTCTGGGATGTGCGCAAGTTAAAGAGAATGGTTTATCTAGACTAAACCAAATATCTCTTCCATCTGCGTTTAAAATAAGTTTTCGAACGAATGGGCCTCGTTCCGGATTTCAGATTAAAGTCTGAGTCCCATTGTCCCCCTTGTAAATTTTTCACATTTCATCTGGTCATTTCTTTTTGTTGATGGTTGAATTTACACAATTCACGTTATATTACTATACCATTTGAATGCTTATTACTTACGATTTTTCTGTTCATATGGACTCCATTCATTAGCAATTCCTGAGTAATTACGCCGGACAGAGCAACCATTTATTTTTGTTAGACACTCACAGTTGCGGTCAAAAGGTGTCGCCGAAACGATATTTCGTGCATTATTTTCTTTTCTCAAGCTCTCCAAAGATTGTATACACTATGTTTTTAGTTTTTCATGTCCTTGAGTCTTGAAGAAGATCGATAGTTTCGAAAAAAAATTCCGCGATCACCTACTGATTTTTTTGGAAAAGAAAGGAGGAGCACGAAACCGTTTTGTGAACACTTAGACCACGTTCAGACCAGGTTTGGGTATCAAGCAGCACCTGCACTGTGGTGCGGGTCAAAGCCTTGGATGGCAACCATGCATTCCATATCTCCGCTTAATAGCCATCCAGACCTCGTCTGGGTTGGATAAAAACACTGACTATCTACCACTGACTCAGCTTGCCGCCGCACGTTATTGAATACAACCGATTCCGATGGACAATAATATCTCATCATGGCTGTCCTTCCACCATGTGCTAGCAATTCACATCACATCGCGCTATTATCTCTCGCCTATCGCTATTTTATCCCGCTAAGCCATGATAATTTCCTTTTTCGAACCCAAATTTCAGAAAGATGGCCACCGAGTTAATTTCTATATTCCCTACTAACCTTTTGGAGGCCTTTCAGCAGTGATGGCTGCAGCTTGAGTTATGATTGAATACAGAGGCTACAGGCACCGCGCTCCACACTCGTAAAAATCCGATCTCCCCTTCATGCTGCCCCTATTCGCAATTTCCTCAATTTCTTTTTAATTTCGTTGTTGTCTGACACAATACTGTTCGCAGCGTAAAACGCCGGTTGACACTGGTTAAGGTGTGCAAGGCCGGCTTACAAGCCCATTTTGAGATCGAAGCAAGGTTATCATAGTGGTCGAGCGGAAGTTGACTGAGGTCGAATTTTGATGAAAGTGTGTGAAAGAATAAGAATTGAGCGAAATGGTGGATTTTCGCTTTCATAATACTTAGCTACCCCTTATTTTACCCCAACCCCCCCCCCCCCCCCCTTCGAGGTCGTTTTGAAGGAAATGGAGAAAAAGATGGAGTGATCGACTGCGTCTCAAAGTACTCAGAATCAAACTAGATTGCCCAATGGTAAGGGTTGGTCTGGTCGGAGAAGGGGAAGGGATACGCGGCATCTATGGCGGAATCCTTCAAGGACTGACACTGGTTGGCATTGGGTCGCAGTCGAGCTTCTTCCACCCCC